AGTCGCAAACTTAGAAATTTAAGGAAGAATGATGCTAATTGTTTCTTCAGTTACATAATTTTGTAGACCACTTTAAAGGAGGTGTTTGCTGAGATACAGTGGCTAATGCCGATAATGTGTTCAATTATAGTACTTCTCATAAAGCCATTGCTACCTTTCTCTAACCATGCTGGTCAGTGCTTTTGGACCTTTTTAGACAGGATACTCATGGATCAATGCATTTGGATCCACAGGAAAAAGTCAACTTGAATATGCACTTAAAAAAGGTGAAATGCGAAATCTTGCCTTTTAGGTTCCTGAAGAACAGCTGGCTACTACAGGACGTTGCTGAGCAGAATGTTCTTCTCAAAGATATTGAGATTATTCTCTTAAGGATACCACAGGATAAGCCGCTCTTGAAATCAAAGCTCATGTAAAGTTTCTTTTTTGGCACAAAAGAATGTCTCATTTCTCTGAACTTTCGGTATGATGATCTTTGTCAATAAATCTCTGTGGATATCCATTTTGGACGATCATATCTTATAGAAAGTTTAATTCTTTTTTCTAGAGCGCCATTACTGAAAAGACGTTGGATACGAATGGAAAGAGACTTAAATAAATTTCGCTTTCGTTCAATAGGTTCCCAACTGTAGAATATCGTCAAATGACCATTTTATGTGGGTTTACTCTAGACAGACCTTCTCAAGCTTCTATTGGCTATTCTTGTTAGTTCACCATCAAGAAAAGGAACTTTAGATTAGTTTTCTATTCAAAGAGTGCATTTTATTGCTGTATGGCATTTGTCAAATATCTGTTACAACTGACTAAGATCCTATTCGTTATCACGAATAATAAAAACGCCATTCGCCTACTTTGTCCACAGTTAAAAACTATCAGTGGTGATCTTTTATGATCCATTCTCAAGGTGTGTCATAAAACAGTTTCCTAGCTAAGGGATATTTCCTTGCGATCCCATTCCTTCATCTGTAAATGTTGTCACTGACAGAGACTTTAAAATAAGAGTCACCTCAGTAGTAGTTATTTCAAATACTCTGTTGGCATTTTAATATTCAGCTGGTTTATTATCTATTCATCTACATCCAAAAAAAAAATCTCCGTAAGTAGAACACCAATGAAAAGTGACTCGATATCGACATAAGCATACTTGTGTATGCAGTCAGTGAATTTAATAATGTCTCAAACTGAGTGCATGCGCATCTGTCTCTCGAATATCAGCCAGCTATTTCGCAATCGAATAATGGTGGGAACCTGATAAATCTATAACTGGACGCAGGGGGAGAACAACCTTGAATATCCATGACAAACAATTAAATCTTGGTAATATCGAGCCTGATGTGAGCGAAAATATCGTAGGTAATTCACTTATCGACTTTCATTCTTCACAAAGCATGCAGTTGAAAAGAACATGTTCCAAAATGGTAATTAAAACACAGAAAATACCAATGCAATTAATCTGAATAGATATCCAGCATCATCCATTGCAAAGCACTTATTAATGTCAGGTCACAAAATCAATATCAATGACTGTTTCACAATTATTTGATATTGTGGAAAATTCCCATATTATGAATTAAAAAGTCAATCTGAACGAAGAATATTCTTTTCAATAATTTCTCTTCAGGTTCTTACAATTATAATACTATATATAATATTTGTTGTCGTTACAATAAAGGCCAGTTATGCAGCAGATACATTTTTAACTTAGAATAACAGATTAGTTATCGCGTGTCAAAATAAATAGTCGTATTTGTGTGACAAACGTGCTAGGTTGAATTCGATTACAAAATGTTGTAAAACGGGAGACAATGGTGGTGATTAATCATAATAGATTTGTAGAGTGTGGGGTAGGAAAATTGACAAGTCAGTTCAAGGTTATAAAAGGTGTCAGGTGAGTGAGTGGCTAGTACAAAGTGGTCTGAGTTAAACAGGAGATAGTAAGACTGAAATGAGAGGTTCATAATGAAATAATGAATATGTGAAATGAAACAGGTGGAGGCATGTATTGAGAAAAGAGATAATATCACTAATAATAAGTCCGGAGAGTACCAAGTTGGGTTCGAGAACATTTACCAGCTCGGCTCAGCAGGGGGGAAATTAAGTGCATAAAAGCTGGCTCCTTTCACACTTGGTCGATACTGGACATATATATATATATATATATATATATATATATATATATATATATATATATATATATATATATAATATACCGAATTCCGAAGTCGTTATCACGTACAGTTCGCTTATGTCTTCTACACATAGCTGAAGCTGTTGCAATAAGATCGACTAAACCGGAACTCTGTATCCAAAAAGAACACGTTCAGACGCTGTTCCTACCGTGGCCAAACTTGGATTGATGATTCTTCTTCTCACCAAGAATGCTCCTTCCCCTTAAGCCTCTTGGCTTTTTTTCCTTTGCTTATTATTACAAATATTATTATTATTATTACAAACATTATTATTATTCGTCATAATATATAACCTTCATGCAAACATTCTCTCAATACTATCGAATTTTTCATTTATACTATCCTGACTTATTATTAGTGATATTATCTCTTTTCTCAATATATGCCTCCACCTGTTTCATTTCACATATTCGTTATTTCATTATCAACCTCTCATTGCAGTCTTACTATCTCCTGTTTAACTCAGACCACTTTGTACTAGCCACTCACTCACCTGACACCTTTTATAACCTTGAACTGACTTGTCAATTTTCCTACCCCACACTCTACAAATCTATTATGATTAATCACCACCATTGTCTCCCGTTTTACAACATTTTGTAATCGAATTCAACCTAGCACGTTTGTCACACAAATACGACTATTTATTTTGACACGCGATAACTAATCTGTTATTCTAAGTTAAAAATGTATCTGCTGCATAACTGGCCTTTATTGTAACGACAACAAACATTATAATATTTTATAATTGTGAGAACCTGAAGAGAAATTATTGAAAAGAATATTCTTCGTTCAGATTGACTTTTAATTCACAATTATTTCACATAACTCTAAGTCATGGTTACTGAAGGCGATGGAAGCACTTTGGTCTAATCACACACATCCTAAACTATGTGTGCAAAAAAGAATAGACTTCAACCTTCGGCTACCATGATCTACTTGAGCTTTTTAAATATGATTGGTCATTAGTATGTACTTTAGTTTTTTTATTTAACTCTAATTTACTTAGATTTATTTTTGAATAAGTGATTTAGAAGACAATTTTCGTGAGCAGATATCATTTCATAAGTAAAAACACAGTTTTTTGTTCAGCGAAGAAATT